TAAAATGGAATAATGAGCATACTGGGTATTATAAATCTGATATCTAGACTAGGTATGCATATCTTTAATTATGTAAACACACAAAGAAAACAAAATGTTGATTGTACTTTGTCCAGAGCTTCATATAAATGTGCTGGAGAGTGTTTTGATGGTTGACAGCTTAATACTCACCTGTATTTTCTCTTTAGCCCATAGTAGTGTAGGAGTGTTGTCTGGCAGAATTCATTATTGAGCTCAGACAGTACAGGAAACAGGATGTCAAACATATCAAGCAATCAGCCACTGTTTTTGTAGCAGGCACTGAAGCCACACTACAGTCACATTTCAGAAGAGTTATAGAAAGCAAAGCTGTGAAACCAGCATGCATGCCTGAAAATAACCTTTAAAGCTCAAACAGCTCTTCGAGGACATGTATGCTAGTATGAATACATTGCATTGCAGTAGCCTTTATAGTGCCCCGATTGAATATTTTCTGCTGTTTTCTGTCAAAAACTTTCACCAACTATTAACTTTAATTTAGTCTACAGCAGAGGGAGGGAGCTGGTCACAAGTTGCCAAAGGCCATGCAAGGATTACACAAGCGGCCAGACTAGACAAGTTTGCATGCAATCCTGTTTTTTTAATGTGGCCCCAAGTCTTATTTTTAGTATTTCTGTGTAATTTGGGATTTAAATGTTGAGTCACATTGGATTTATGAATAGGATAAGTCACATGGACATTTTATTAATCTGCTATCCTCTCTCCCAAATCTGACGTAAAACATGAAACTTAAATAGGAAGTAAAGCATACTGTGTAATTCCCTCTAGAACTGATTTTAATTGCATGCATAAGCAATGCCCTCCAAATAAATTCCATTCTGCTGCTCTTATTAAATTAAATACATTTCAGACATGGAAACTTTACAAATTATATATCCCATGCTGCAGGCATTTGGCTGTTGATGACCTGAACTTAGATTGAACTTATAGTTTATTTCAGCTCTCAATATTCTAAATACTGCAGTAAGTTGACTGTCTATTGCTGTAGTTCCCTTTGGAAGTCAAAGAATGTGTTGTAAAGTGCTAATTTAATTATGTTAAATGTGTTTGGATATGGATCACAGATCAATATTAGTTCAATTGCCAGGTATTTTCTTTTTCTGCCAAGTAAAAATAAAACTACTATGATTTCAAAAGCAATCCTTTATACGTCATGGATCGGCGGTGTGGGTGTTATTCATGCATACCCACCGACTCACTGATGATAATAAAGATCACTGATAGACCAGCATGGCTTGACGTCTTGAAGGCTTAATGTCTCCTGTGTGTTTGCTGGAGAAAGCAGATTTTGTCTTGCCATTTGAAGGAGCTAACGGCAATTGCTTCTGCAGGCGCGACTGTTGCCATGGCTATACCATATACATATATATATGTGTGTGTAAACAGGTAGTACCAGTGAGTAAGAGGGGTAAAGATAAAATGTACCATATGCGGTGCAAGTAAAGTGACAAAGTGATGAGCCTAACAATTCAGCAGTCTTATTTATGGCCTGCAGGATGAAGCTGTCTCTGATCCTTGTGGTGAGAGACCAGATGCCGCGGTACCGTCTGTTTACATTTGCATGAGGCCATTATACTGTGCAGAATTCTTCTATGTTGTTTGATAACATGACCCATGAGGAATAGGCAGTGTAAATGTCCAAAAACAAAAATAACAAGACTGTTGCTTCTGCAGGCGCAACTGTTGCCATAGCTATACCATATACATATATGTAAATGAATACATATATATACAAATGAATGAAGACTCATTCATTGAATGAAGGATCACTTTCACATGTTCATTGTCACGTTTATGTAGCTCTGTGAAGACAACAAACAAGTCTCTTGATATCAAGTGGTTTCAGTCTGATCTTGCTGCACAGCTTTTCACTTCTGACATGGCACCTAATTTAGGAAGCTGATTATGTTGTCATGGCAACTTGCAGTTAAGTAACGTTCACAATGAGCTCCATCAGTAAGAGTAGTCCAACTTGCTTCCGGGAGAAAGAAATACCTGCTGATTTTTAAGTTTACAAACCAACTCCTGACTGTTTCTCTCCTGCCAAAAGAATAGAAGTGTCGACAAAATGAGAAATTATTTTGCCTTTTGGGTTCAACATTTCATTCCAAATCTTAATAAGTATGCACACACACACACACACACACACACAACCTAAGCATAGGTTCTTTATTAAATTGAAAAAAAAAAATAAAGGAAAACACAAATTACCGTCAAAACTAGACATATCAGTCATAACAGTATGAGTTTCTCTGTTCATATGTGGAAACAAAGCTTCCAGAGCTGCAATTCTCTCTGTGCAGAGCTAAAAGTGGCTAGAAATGTTTTCATGTTTTCCTTTTCTTTATTTCCAGCTTCATGTACTTTTGCTGGGTAATACGCTCTCAGAGAACATAATCAGAAACCATTGAAAACTGATTACTCTAGTGTGACATTTGAGATGGAGAGCTCTTCCAGCTGCAGAATATGTTTGTGTGATTGCTCCAAATCAATGAATATGTTTGGAGCAGCCAATTTCCTTATATCATAGCAAGCCTGCTTCATTGGCCTCGGGGTTAATTTGGGCATCACTCTGTGCCTGCTGTTGAGCTAGAAACAGACAATAAATTCAAATAAAGACAGCTATCCTATTGCACCTTTGATATTAACACTGTTCCTGTTACTGAAGGGACGTGTACAAGTGCCTGGATATTTAAGAGGAGCAAAAGTTAAGGTTGTATAATGCTGCTTTTAATATCATTTTTGTGGTCAAATTTAATGTTAAGGTTAATCAGTCTCTTTTAGAAGTCCAGTGCTGCTTTGTGGAAGTTGCAGCTTGGCTTATGGGTGGCTGTGGCACAAGAGGTAGAGCAGGGTTTCCACTAATCAGAAGGTTGGTGGTTTGATCCCCAGATCCTCATGTAGAACAGGAGACTGGGGAGACTCAGTTTCTTTGTTAAACCGATTGTTCATTGTTTCAAGCCAGTAGTGATTTTAACCCAAACCATGGTCTTTTCCAAAACATAACCGAGTAGTTAAACTTGTTACTTGTACAGTTAGATTGTAACTAGCACTTAAAATATTTCTCAGCCAGCTTTATTTTGAAAGTTTAACCAGGAATTACATACTTATTTTTTTGCTAACTTTAACATGAAACGTGAATATGTTTTTTTCATGCAAAACGTGACATTGCCAAGGTTTATTAACAACAGCAGGTGTATTAATCTCTTTGGCGTATAAACATTAATTTTTAGCTACGCTAGTGGGATGACTCTCTCGGAATGGCGATGTAGGTTGGTCGCTGTTTGATTATAAGCTGACGGTTGAACATCATGCATATTGCCTCAAGCCACCTGCATTTAATATCTAAGTTGTTTTTCTAATCATGACTCAAGTATGAAGCTCTATGGTCACAGTTGTTAAATGGAGTTTTGAGCACTTTTAAAAGTTTTAACAGTTAAAATGACACGAAAAAAAAAAAACAGGTCGCCTCTTACTTTGACAGGCAATGTAATTCAACAGTGTTCAATGCACAAAACACGAAGAAGCTTTTCACTATCATTAACACTCCTGACAGACATATCAGCTCACCGAAGCTTCTGTGAACACTGGCTGGCACTTTTTCTCCCCACTTCTGCCTCACAAACATCATTTAGCAGTCCACTGTAAGATTTCTATAGTTTAAGAGAAAATCCAGCCTTTATCGTTGCCATATGAAAGCAATAAGCTGCTTTGAAAAGGCTTTAAATGCCTCATTCACTTCACTCAGTTTTTTAAGGAACGCTTTCAGGTGTATTTTCTCGTATCAAGTCTGACTATTCTGTGCTCCAAAAGAAGAAAAAAACTGCACTAAGACGATTATATTTGATATATGGCTGTCCAATCCATCATGACTAAACCTGTTAGAAACGAAGACTGAAAGTGTTTGAATAGCAGAGAGGTGCCGTCTGAAAAAAAACTCTCTATTTCCTAAAATTCTGAAGAATAAAAAGGCCTTATCTTTAGAAAGGTGCATGTGTATTGTTTAGTGAGGTTTCACTGAGCTTCAAAGAGTTCTAGGGTCATAAAACTTTAAGTTGTTTCTTACATTATCATGACAAAATGGGGTAGGCTATATAGCATTGATATGACAGCCATGTTATTCTTCTGTGAACACTAAAACTTACTGAAGTGTCAAAATTATAAAAGGTGCAGCCATAAAGCAGTAGATAACTGAGATTTGTCTCCCACTTCCATACCGGTGATTGTCATGGCTCTGCTCCCCTCCTGCTCCCTTTGCTCCTCCCCCTTCCCTGTGTGCCTGAGGGTGCGGCCTCCATTCTCCTCACCTGCTGCCTGCTGTCTCACCTGCTCTCAATCATTCATCATGCTCCAGTCTTCAAGAACCCCGGTCTTCCTCCCATTCTTCGCCAGATTGTTTCAGCCTATGTGGTGGTAACTCTCGTGGCTCCCTTCAGTATTTAGTTAAGCGATTCAAGCTCTCTTGTGTTTTCCCTGTGCGTGCCCCCTTGTCTAACCGTTTCTCTCCCGTGCCCCAGGGTCCCTTGTGCTGTTTGGCTTCCTGTGTCCGCTCTCCTGTGCCTCTGTGTCTCCGGTCTCTTCCGCCATCTCACCCACCCGTTCCTGCTCTGGCCGCCCCTCATCCCCCTGTGTGTGTGCGTGTGCGTGGAATAAAACCCCCTTTAAACCTTCCATACTGTCTGGGTGTCTGCTCCTGGGTCCAGTCCCAACACCAGCCCTGTCAGAACAATCTGGCCAGCATGGACCCAGCGGACCCAGACTCCGTCCGAGCGCACTGGCCTACCAGGGACAACGAGTGGGCCAACACGAGAAGGTCCTCGACGAGATCGTGGCAGCCATCCAGGACCTTCGCTGTAGTGTGGCCGCCCTTGGATCCAAGCTCGATCAGGTCTCCACTCCTCCCACAGCTCCTACCACCGCCACTGAAGCAGCTACTCCCTCTGCCTCCCCAGCCATGCCGCATGCAGCCTCTCCTCCCCCCGCCCCGGGAACCACACGTTCCTACACCTGAACGGTATGCTGGGGATTTGGGGGCTTGTGGGCGGTTTCTGCTTCAGTGCTCGCTAGTTTTCCAACAACAGCCGCTTACCTACAGCTCAGATAGCGCCCAAGTGGCTTTTGTGATTAGCCTACTGTCAGGGAAAGCAGCTCAGTGGGCTACCGCCCTGTGGGAGAAGCACTCCCCTGTTTGTGACTCCTTCCAGCGGTTTTCTGAGGAACTAAGAAAGGTTTTTGATCATCCTGTGCAAGGCAAGGAGGCAGCTAAGCGTTTATTGAATCTTCGTCAGGGATCAGGTTCAGTAGCTGAGTTCTCCGTCGAGTTTAGGATTTTAGCGGCCGAGAGTGGTTGGGATGAAGAGGCGTTACAGACTGTTTTCGTGCATGGGCTGTCTGAGGTTATGAAAGACGAGTTAGCGGCTAGGGATAGCGCTGCTAGCCTCGATGAGCTAATCTCACTAGCGATTAGGCTCGACAATCGTCTTCGTGAGAGACAGCGTGAGAGGAGGGGGCGACCACTAGCCTCTCCTTTCCCTGCTCTACCCAGAGCCACCATCTCGGTAGGTCCCCAGTTAGCGGCCCCATCCAAACACCCCTCGAGCCAGATACCCCTCGAGCCCGTAGAAGAGCCGATGCAATTGGGCCGCACCCGCCTCACCCAGGCGGAACGCCAACGCCGGATTAGGTCCGGTTTATGCATCTATTGTGGCCAGCACGGTCACTTCTTGGCTGCCTGCCCCCAGCTGCCAAAAGATTAGGCTCACCAGAGAATGGTGGAACTCTTGTGAGCCAAGTCGCCACTTCCACCTCAGCCCCCTTTCTCGCTTGCAATTAAATGCGTCCCTTCGCTGGCAGTTAAACTCCATTCCCCTCACAGCTCTGGTCGACTCGGGTGCCGAGGAGAGTTTCATTGACTCAGCATTCGTGCTTCAGGCAAGAATCCCCACTGTCAAACTCCCAGACAACCAACCCGTTAATGCCCTAGACGGAAAACATCTAGCCAACATTACTCGACAAACCGTTCCTCTCACTCTTATCCTTTCTGGCAATCACCGTGAGGAGATCAGTTTGCTAGTCATTTCTTCACCCAACGCTCCCGTAGTATTAGGTTTTCCTGGCTTAAGCTCCACAACCCCCAATTTGACTGGTCTACAGGTTCACTCTCTAGTTGGAGCGCCCACTGTCATTCACATTGTCTCCAGTCTGCCAGTGTTTTGTCATCTCCCACTGTTTCCAAGCCTCCTGAGCCCCCCGATCTATCCGCTGTCCCTGTAGAATACCACGACCTTGGGGAGGTTTTCAGCAAACATCGAGCCGTCACATTACCTCCGCATAGGCCATATGATTGTGCTATTGAGCTGCTTCCTGGTTCCACTCTGCCAACTAGTCGCCTGTATAACCTCTCCAGACCTGAACGCGAGGCCATGGAGAAATATATAGGTGACTCGCTAGCGGCAGGGCTAATTCGACCCTCTTCGTCTCCGGTAGGGGCTGGTTTCTTCTTTGTGACCAAGAAAGACCAGACCCTCCGCCCTTGCATTGACTATCGAGGGCTTAACGACATCACCATTAAGAATAAGTACCCTCTCCCTCTCATTGATCCGGCATTTGAACCCCTTCATAAGGCCCAAGTGTTCTCGAAATTAGACCTCCGAAACGCATACCATCTTGTCAGGATCAGAGAGGGAGACGAGTGGAAAACTGCCTTTAACACCCCTTAGGCCACTTTGAATATCTGGTGATGCCGTTTGGCCTGACCAACGCGCCAGCTGTGTTCCAGGCTTTAGTCAACGACGTGCTGAGGGACATGCTGAACAGGTTCCTATTCGTTTATTTAGATGACATACTCATCTTTTCCCAGTCTCAGGAGGAACACGTTCAGCATGTTCGGCAGGTCCTTCAAAGACTCCTTGAGAACAAGCTCTTTGTGAAAGCCGAGAAGTGTGAGTTTCACGTGACATCCGTGTCTTTCCTGGGGTTTATAATTGAGCGGGGGCAGGTTAAAGCAGACCCAGCCAAGATTCAGGCCGTGGCTGATTGGCCTAGTCCAACCACTCGCAAGCAGCTGCAGCGCTTCCTGGGGTTCGCTAACTTTTACCGTCGCTTTATTAGAAATTATAGCAAGGTAGCTGCTCCCCTGACCAAACTCACCTCAGTGAAAGTACCGTTTGCCTGGTCCCCTGAAGCAGAAACAGCCTTTCTAGCCCTGAAGGAACTGTTTACTTCTGCCCCGGTGCTGCGGCATCCTGACCCCTCCCTCCAGTTCGTGGTGGAGGTGGATGCCTCTGACACTGGCATTGGGGCAGTACTCTCCCAGCGATCCCCCAAGGACCAGAAGCTGCACCCCTGTGCCTTCCTCTCCAGACGCCTGTCCCCAGCGGAGAGGAACTATGACGTTGGGAACAGAGAGCTGCTGGCGGTGGTGGTAGCCCTTCAGGAGTGGAGGCATTGGTTGGAGGGCGCTGCTCTCCCGTTCATCGTGTGGACGGACCACAAGAACCTGGCGTACCTCCGCTCAGCCAAGAGGCTCAACTCCCGTCAGGCCCGGTGGGCTTTGTTCCTTGACCGTTTTGTTTTCACCCTCACCTACCGACCTGGGTCCCGCAATGCCAAGCCAGATGCCCTATCACGCCAAGCCGACCCCGAGACGCCGGGGACTGAACCAGAGACCATCCTCCCGGCTTCTTGTGTGGTGGCTGCAGTGAACTGGCGGATAGAGGCTCTGGTGAAGCAAGCACAACGCTCACAACCCGACCCAGGTAACGGCCCCCTAACCGGCTTTTTGTTCCAGACTCTGCCAGGTCCCAGGTCCTCCAGTGGGCTCATGCCTCTAAGATCTCTTGCCATCCTGGTTACCAGCGGACACTGGACTTCCTTCGGCGGAAGTTTTGGTGGCCTTCGATGGCGAGAGACACAAGAGCTTTTGTGGCCGCCTGTTCTGTCTGTGCCCGCGGAAAATCCTCCCACCAGCCTCCAGCTGGACTATTACACCCCTTGCCCGTTCCACGTCGCCCTTGGTCCCACATCGCTGTGGACTTTGTTTCCGGACTGCCTACCTCTGAAGGTAATGACACTATTCTCACCATTGTTGATCGTTTTTCTAAGTCAGTCCATTTCGTGCCTCTGCCCAAGCTCCCCTCGTCTCTGGAAACTGCCAAACTCCTGGTCACCCACGTGTTCCGCCTACATGGAATCCCTCAGGACATTGTTTCAGACCGTGGTCCACAATTCGCCTCCCAGGTTTGGCGAGCCTTCTGCCAGGCCTTGGGCGCCTCTGTCAGTCTCTCCTCAGGTTACCACCCGCAGTCCAACGGCCAGACAGAACGGGCTAACCAGCAGTTGGAGGCTGCCTTGCGCTGCGTCGCCGCCCGACATCCGGTCTCCTGGTGCACATTTCTTCCGTGGATTGAATATGCTCACAACTCCCTCACCTGCGCTGCCACAGGTATGTCCCCGTTCATGGCAGCTTATGGTTTTCAACCTCCATTGTTCCCATCTCAGGAAGGGGAGGTGGCGGTCCCGTCAGTACAGGACCACCTGCGCCGCTGTCGCCGGATTTGGACTGAGGCTCGTGCAGCCCTGCTACGGACAGCGGCTAGAAACCAACGCCTGGCGGACCGCCACCGACTCCCTGCCCCGATTACGCTCCTGGTCAGAAGGTATGGCTGTCTTCTCGAGACCTGCCGTTGCAGGTAGAGTCTCGAAAGCTAGCTCCACGATTTATTGGACCTTTTGAAGTGGACAGAATCATCAATCCTGTGGCGGTGAGGTTAAAACTCCCCCGTCATTACATGTGCATCCTGTGTTTCACGTATCTCTCCTGAAGCCTGTCTCCTCCAGCCCTCTGTGCCCTCCGGCCGACCCCCTCCGCCCCCCGGCTCATCGACGACCACCCAGCCTACACAGTTCGCCAGATCCTGGACGTCCGACGGCGGGGCCGGGGTTTCCAGTACCTGGTGGACTGGGAAGGGTACGGGCCGGAGGATCGTTCTTGGGTTCCCCGGCACTTCATCCTGGATCCCTCCCTTCTTTCGGACTTCTACCGATCCCATCCTGACAAGCCTGGTAGGCCGCCAGGAGGCGTCCTTTGAGGGGGGTACTGTCATGGCTCTGCTCCCCTCCTGCTCCCTTTGCTCCTCCCCCTTCCCTGTGTGCCTGAGGGTGCGGCCTCCATTCTCCTCACCTGCTGCCTGCTGTCTCACCTGCTCTCAATCATTCATCATGCTCCAGTCTTCAAGAACCCCGGTCTTCCTCCCATTCTTGCCAGATTGTTTCAGCCTATGTGGTGGTAACTCTCGTGGCTCCCTTCAGTATTTAGTTAAGCGATTCAAGCTCTCTTGTGTTTTCCTGTGCGTGCCCCCTTGTCTAACCGTTTCTCTCCCGTGCCCCAGGGTCCCTTGTGCTGTTTGGCTTCCTGTGTCCGCTCTCCTGTGCCTCTGTGTCTCCGGTCTCTTCCGCCATCTCACCCACCCGTTCCTGCTCTGGCCGCCCCTCATCCCCCTGTGTGTGTGCGTGTGCGTGGAATAAAACCCCCTTTAAACCTTCCATACTGTCTGGGTGTCTGCTCCTGGGTCCAGTCCCAACACCAGCCCTGTCAGGTGATTATGTTATTACTGCAAAACTGTGTGTATACAGTATGTGTGCGCCTACATTTCTTGACAGGTCTTTAAAAAAACAGCTATGCTAAGCTCACGCTACACTTCCACATGCGTGTAGATGCCTACAAAGAAAATTCATTGATTAAAGAGAACAGCACAATGTGCATATTAAGCTTATTTATGCCATTAAATTCTATCAGTCATTTTAAGAATTTATGTTATTGTGATTTATCTGCACAGTAACTCAAACACATGCAGAGACTATGCTAACCTGCAGTTTACTCAAGCAATATTACGAGGCACTAAACTTGTATTTGTTCTACCTTTAATTAGTTAATGCTCTGTAAATATGTTGTTGAAATAATCCATTGAAAATGTACTTTCACAAAGGAAAGCATTTCAAAAGGTGCCCTAACAAGGAGCATTACGCTTTCATACAACAATGTTTACTATCCACTTACACTTTGCATATATGTATATGTGTATACTGTGTTACATTACCTGTGTAATGAACTTTGTATATACCTTTTTTCATAGAGATTTACTGTACAGTTATTTTCAAGACCCCTCCATGCAGCACATTGCTCGATTAATCTGCTGTTTGTTTTTTCAGTTAATCATGTGATCAATGAAATGTAAAACAACTGACCAAATTCACAATAAAAAAGAGCACAAATACCAATTCTGTGGGGAGTAGCAGAAAAGTAATGCAACTAGTAATGTAACAAATGACTGTTGGTATGCAGTAATACGTAAAGTAATAATATAACTTTGGAAAACAGTAACAAGTAATGAGCAATAAATGAATTGAGTAACTAGCCCAACACTGTAACCTGAGAATGTTTATATCTAATCTTTATTTCTCATCTTCAAGTTATTTTTCACCATTTAACCCCCAACACTACTGCTCACTTGTGCTTTATTTGCATTTTCTGTTCAAGGTGTCTTTTAATCCATCTCTTCCTCATCCTTTTTCTGGGTTTTTTTGGCTCTCTCATTAAATCCACTTTTCTTAGACCAAGGTCCATCTATCTGCTTGATATTATATTGAATCAGGGTATAAGTTGAATGATAAATGACAAAAGGTTGCAGTACAGAAATGCTTGAGATATGTTAGGTATTCAGTCAGTATAACATGATGCATCAGTATCAGCATTTTAAAATCTCAATGCTGATGTTGGCCTTAAACATCTAGTACTGGTCAGCTATACTGTGTATACTGCGTGCAGCTCAAGCTAATCTGTTGGTAAATGTGAAAAAAGCCAGATTTGAATAAACATGGAATGTGTTACAGCTTTTCTGTCTAAAATACAGAATGTAATTTAACGTTAGATCCTGACTGATCCTGCTCCCTTGATGGAATAATTAATAATGATAAATGATGAATGAAGTTACCAGTGTTGTGCTGCGAGCGTAAACATTCCCATTCTTAATTTAGACACACTCATATTGTTCCTCCTACCGTGAGACAGCAACAAGTATTTAATAAACTCTAAAGAGAGAATCCTGCATACAGCAGTTTGTGGGTAACAATCAGAACATCAGTTCTGACTTTCCTCTAAAACCCTGATTATTCAATAAAGTGAGCATATTTGAAAATATTTATGAATTGAATGCTGAGGGAGTTAGTTACTTAATAGTAGTTGTATATAAGTTATCATAAGGAGATCACATTGAATAGCATAAATGTGTGTAATTTGATTAAAGAGATACAGTAGTTCATTTTGAGTTTTTTTCAGAGTCAGAAACTATTAAATGACAGGCCTTTTTTATATATTTGGTGTAGTCTGAAATGATGTCAAACAACAAAATTAGCAGTGGTATAGTGGTGCCTGGAGTGGGTATACAATGTATGCCCCATTTCTCTTTTTTTTTAAAGCAGCCCATCCAGTAAAGGATAAATACCTGTGTTATAAACATTATTATTATTATATATTATATATTATTATTAATGGAATTAGCGGAGAGCCACAGAAGAGACCCACAGACAAGTGAGAGAACTACATAATTAAGCATTTTTAGTGAAGTATTCCTCATTCCTTTCTCCACATCTCATGAAAATAAGACAACTATTGCATGCCTTCACCATCCTAGGAAACAAATCATGCAGATCTGCATATACCTTACACTGCGCCACTGCAGCTCAAGCTAAAACTCACGTTTGTAAATGTAAACTATTCTTACATTGTCTTTTACCAGAGGCTTTTCAATGTGCTCCATTTATATCACATCTTTGCCTCAACCTCCTTTCCTACGGAGTCCTGCAACACGACCTCCTCCTTCCTTTAAATAATTAACAAAAAACATTATTCAAACGCCCCTCTCTACTGGTTAAACTGACCTTTGACCCTGTGAAGGGTAAGTTGTTGGTTAAAAAGCTCATGCTCATATAGACTAGTGAGGTTACAGCACAGGCTAGGCTAATACATGGTTGATATTGACTTACTTAACAAATGCAGCTTGAACTTCTAACCCCTGAAAGCCAATATATTGATCTGATCCATATATGTCATAGACGTAACACTCTCTTGTTTTTCACTGCAGGCAAAAGTAACATACATTGCTCTCCTTTCAGACTTTAGTAAAGTTTATTTTTCCCATTCTGTTATGTATTTAGCTGTCCAAGTTATCTTAATCATATAATGGACTGGAATTAATATTTTAGGTTGTTCTTAGCCTTTGAAAATAATCAGACGGATTAGTTGGGGGAGATTACACAATAATATTGAGCACTGAGTCCTTTGTTTCCTGCATGTCAGAATCATACAGACAGTTAATGAGTCAATGTGCTTCGTTCATTTCTTTTTCCTTCTCCACAGATGTGAGGAGCTGCTGATCACAGCCACTTTATCAGAGCCACGCTCATTTCAACAACACTCGACGGTAAATGACAGTTAAAAGCGCGTGCAAAAAAACAGTGCCATCCACAGCAGGTGCTGCAGCCCCCCCCCCCCCACACACACACACAGAGACACACACTCCGTATTAGAAGCATAATAATGTGAAAATGACTTCAGTGTCAACTCAAGCGGATGTAGAGACAGTCGGCTGCACTCTCTCACATCAAACAGAGTCAGCAGACATCTGCTGAATGGCAGCTGGGGAAGGTGTGTGTGTGTGTGTGTGTGTGTGTGTGTGTGTGTGTGTGTGTGTGAGAGAGAGAGAGAGAGAGAGGGGGTGAGGGAGTAGTTGATGAAGAGTGAACAGAATTACCGACCACTGCTGCAAACACACTGACATCACTTACACAAACTCCCTGGCTTTGGTATAAAAGACACCGTCTACTCATTTCGGGATAGAGATTATTTCAGTGACAGATTTAATTATTTTATTTATGTTCTTACAACCTGAGTTTTATTTTTGTAGTTAGTTTGGCTAGTTACTTCAGCCCACTATTTTTGCTACTGTTGTTGCTGTTCACCTCTGTCTGTCTGTCTGTCTACTTACAAATAAGTATGTAGATCTTTAAACTGGTTTGTTTAAAACCTGTCTCATCCATTGAGGTTGTGTTGGACGCTGTTCTTGTGATGTTGCATGATGATGTCAAAATTTATTAGAATAGCCATAATTTTAAAAATAAGACTGAGGTTGAAAGAAAAGCCTGTTTCTGTTGCAATACCATACAGCATATCACTATGGTAAGTGAGTGAGCACTACAAAATGGTAATTGTAAAGACTCTTACATTTTAAGCCTGAAAATCTATTGAATGGTATAGGATTGTGTGTCTCTGGCACTAAAAAGTATTAAGTTGAAGCCCTACAGTCATCGAAGACCATCCTGAGGCTCGTCAAGGTCATGGGCACACTGTGGATGTGATTTGCTCCAGACTTCATTGACCATTATGGTTTTCATGGCTCTATCTCAAACATTATCTTGGTAGATTGACCCCTGGAAGCAATAAACACACACACAATCCCACACTAGCTGAAACAATGAATATAATACCTCTCAGAAAGGTGCAAAAGTTGTTTTCAATCAGGGATTACCCTTGATGAAGTCTTTCTAGAAAAAAAGTTCTTTACTGCCCTTCAGGACATTGTATCTGCCTTGAACTTACACTGACAGCAGCATCATTCTATTATTATGAAATACAAGATAATATGAGAAGAGCCAGACTACATTAAATATATATATATATATATATATATTTTTTTTTTTTTGCAACACAGTGACGAGACTCTATGGCCATGTGGGAGAGAGTGTATACAATGTATGTGTGTGTCAGAGGGACAGATGCTGGCATAGCGGGTGCACCGTCCCTTGACAGGTGACAACTCTAACTGCTTCGAAAACCTTATGGCCAACAGAGCAGGGTCACATTGTTAGTTAAATACTTTGTGGTTCTCCAGGGACGATCGCTTTAACCTGCCTGACAAACCGTATGGTGGACTGACCGATGCCATATTGTGAGAGAACAGCAGGAGTGGGGGCATTTTTAAACCCTGCAGAAAGTGACGATTTGGAAAAGATGTCAAGGTCACATTTGAAGTTT